ATGATATATATAGATATATATATATATATATGTAATTCGCATAAGATAAGATTTAGCGTTGACCCCTTAAGGTTTAGGGTGTAGGGGTTTATGTGAGCACGGATACGTTGCCCGATGAACGAGTAAAGAGGTGTTGCCGGGAAACTTCAACTCTCTCAGCCCCAACCCAACCCTAAACCCTAAACCCTGAAATCAAAGCCCTGCACCTTGTGATGGGCTCCAAACGTGGTCACAACCGAGGCGCATGCCGCAGCCACCTTCACCGGGATACTATCAGGGGTGCGTGCCATAAAGGGCATTTCAAGGGTTACCACAAGGTGCGGCGTAGGGTTCTGTAGCACGCACACACACACACAGAGGCTTCTAGAGGGTGCTAGCGGGTTCCGATAGGTGTTGGAGGGATGGAAAAGACCTTGTTGATGACGACCTCCTGTCTGAATTATGGGGTTCAGGGTTCAGGGCTTAGGTACCCCAAAGACAAAGCACCTACACCGAGCCCACAAACCCCGATAATGCACAACACGGGGGAAGCTCCAGGTTATGTTGTCTTGCTGGGCCTTCACTTGGGTAATATTTGAATAGCGTTTTGGTGGATGTTATACCATAGCTAAAGTTTAATAACCCCCAAAACCGTTTTGTGGAAAATTGTACAAACCCCAAATTTTTACAATTGGGCTAGGACCCCGCAAAACAGTCTTGGGGTACATTATACCATAATGGCAATAAGGACGCCAAAAAAAAAAAACGCTTTGTGGCATATGACGTAACAAAGAACCCCCAAAACAGTGTAGGTATTTTTTAAAGGCCCCTCTAGTCTTCTTCCTTGCCGCAAGCATGGCCTTGCTTGCCCAAGCTCTAAGAAGGAGGGGCCCTGAGTCTAGGGGTTTAGGGTTTTTGCGGTTTAGGGTTTAGGGGTTTAGGGTTCAGAAGTTTAGGATTTAGACGTTTAGGGTTTAGGAGTTTAGGGTTTAGAAGTTTAGGGTTTTGGGCTTAGGGTTTAAGGGTTTAGGGCTTAGGGTTTGGGAGTTTAGGGTTTAGAAGTTTAGGGTGTTGGGTTTAGGGCTGAATCCTTGAAGCCTGCACTTTTCTGTGCATTTGGGGATTCAGGGCGTTAAGGGGCCCAAAACCCTAAGCCCTAAACCCAAAGCCCAAAGCCCTAAACCCTAAACCCTAAACCCTAAAACACTTCCCTAAACCCTAAACCCTAAACCCCAAACCCCTAAACCCCGAAACCCTAAACCCCAAGCCCCAAAACACTTCCCTTAC